GGTGTGCCCAGCTGCACGTGCAAATCATACCAGCACAAGTCCCGTGGGCTCTGCCAAGGAGCTGGGCAGCAAAGCCTCACTCTGTGTAAGTCTGGCTGCCCTCTGCACTGCAGATAGGAAGCCTCAGCTCCCAGAAAACTGTGTCAGGCTACGGACAAAGAGGAAAAGACACTGGGAGTCAAGAGCTTCATGCTTGTTTCCCAGATCTGAAAAAGTTGTTCTTCATGGCCTTGTGCAAAATGCTTTTTCTCTACTCCCCCTGGATCGTTATCAGGAAAACTGGAACATCAGCTTCTCCCTTCTGTTCTGCCTGTCTCAGTGCTAATGGGAAGAGTTCTGATGAACATGGTAGAGCACAATTCCGCACAAGGAGGTCTCACAGGGGCAGTGAGGTGACGGGTCCACGTCCTAAACCCCACCATAAGCTCTCACGTTAGAAGCAGCCTGCTTTATATCATACTCTGCCCTGTGTACTTGTAATTAACTTTCTGCTTTATCTGATCACGTGATATATGCAGAGATTGTATTCTGCACTGAAAAGCTGCCCTGGGGTTCTGAGAGATGTGCAGCCCTGCAACCTCAGGATGCTCTAGGTTCTCTGTCATGTTTTTATGGCAACACAGCAGGACATGGTTTATATGGGAACAGAGCTTGTCTGGGAGGAGCATGGCATTCACATGGTGATGTGGGATCCCAGTGGCAGAGCTTGCAAGGCTGCACACCACAGTAGTGTGACCCTACTGATGTATTCTGAGACCCTTGAGGAGAATATCCTTGAGTTCCTAATTCTTTTGGATGTCTGCAGTGTTCTTATAAGAAATTACAGTGCAAATGTCCCAGGGTGATTTTCCTGCCTGGAAACCTTCCAGGTTTCTAGCACGTGGGTTTCGTTTCATGCTGGGAAGCAAGCAGCTGTTTGTATCTGGCGGCATTCTGAGCTGTAACACCACAGTGGGAGGAGAGGACTTTGTTTCTGCCTTTGGTATTAATGTCAAGGGATACTTCCTTGGGCCAGATACTGGGGGAATACTTTTGGAGGAAGTGACTGACCTGTGTAGTGCCTGCCTATGTTGGCGGTGGCAATGGCACCTTGCTCTGAAAAGTGTGGCCCCTCACTGTGAGAAGCAGATTGAGGCCCTGGAGTGTATCCAGACAAGGACAATGAAGCTGTGAAGGGCCTGGAGCACAAATCTTATTGGGGAGCAGCTGAGGGAACTGGGATTGTTTAATATGGAGACAAGAGGATCCATGGAGAATGCATCATTCTACACAACTGCCTGAAAGGAGATTGTAGTGAGGTGGGGGTTGGCTCTTATCTCACGTAACAGTGATAGAACTATAGGGAATGGCTCCAAGTTGTTCCAACAGAGCTTCAGGTGAGTATTAGGAAACATTTCTTCTCAGAAAGAGTGGTGAGGCACTGGCACAGGCTGCCCAGGAAGGTGATGGATTGACTGTCCCTGGAGGTGTTCAAGAACCGTGTAGATGTGGCACTGAGGGACATGGTTAGCAGGTATGGTGGGGATGGGCTGATGGTTAGACAAGATGTTCTTAATGGTCTTTTCCAATCTTAATGATTCTGTGAATTTTATGATTCTACGATTCCATAAAAGTTGATCACCTCCTATATGTACAGTGTGTTCACCATGGTGAGCTGCAAGTGCCAACCTCTACAAGGGCTCAGTGCAGCAACAACAGAAATTGCCAAAAAAGCAGCATTTCAAAGAGTCTTTTGTATATTGGAATCTTGCGAATCTCCAGTGAGGAAAAAAACTCTTCATGGTGATGTGCCAGGCTGGGCTGCAGCCAGCAGACCTGGAGCGGGAGCAGCTGGGTGTCAGAGCACAGTGGAAGTGCTGCAGCCAGGAGCCTTCACTGCAGACTCACATACCGCAGCCCTCTGGAGAGGATCATCTGCATAATTACAAGGATCACAAATTCTGCACTTCCCCTATCAGTGAGCGTTTTCCTTTTGGGTACAGTATGTTCCTGCAGATTCCAACGATAAACTGTCCTAATGGTCTTTGCAGTCATTTGATGCAGCTACATAAAAATGTCCTAGCACTGCGCTGGAAGGCAGCTCCCCTCCGCGTGGATCTGCATGGGAACAGGGTGTGTGCAGCACGTCCCATCCACGGATAAGCTAATCCTTTCTGCAGATTAAACTTGCCAGCAAAACGTAGCCTGAAAAAGTAGTTACCGAGGTTGTTTATTTTTCAAAGGATGGATAAAATTTCAGAGCGATAAAATCACTTCCTTGAAATGCTTTCATTCAAATAATTTACTTCCTTCTGTAAGGCTTAATCTTTCCTTTGCTGAATGTTTTGTTGTGTTTTTTTTTTTTGCTCCTTCCCCAGCAGGGCAGAGCTGGCCAATGTGCAGCTGTGAGCGTGCGCGCGGTGAGCAGGCAGCACGTGCAGTGCCAGCTGTGCCCAACGCCGCGCACCGGCAGCCCTCCAGCAAACGTCCCATTGTGTTGGTAAATATCTCACTGTGCTCGTTCCCAGGAGCCCCGCAGACCACAATGAAAATTGTTGTTCAGTGCCATTAGCGGGGCTGCACCCTGACGCAGGGAGTGCTGGTGGGCTACACCTTGCGGGAGGTGAGCTGGGCACCCTGGGCTTGGGGATCACCTCCTCCAACTGCTGGGCGAAGGATGTGTTGTTTGGTGAAGGCTGAGCTTCTGTGGTTAATCCCATGTAAGTCTAGGCAAATCACCAAAGAGAGCGATATTTGCTAAAAAGCCACAGAAAGCTGGCAGTGCTGGGGAAGCAGTGAAAAATGAATTGTTTTTGCAAAGTCACACAATTATTTTAGTATGGCTGGCAGCCATCGCCTGGAAAACTCAACAGAGCAAAGAATAAATGACACTAAAAAAACAAACAAACAACAAAACTCTAAAGGGTACATCTGTATCTCTGGCTTAAGTGGGACTCTGTACGGTGTTTCTATCCCTGCATTGCATGCTTACTGGAAAGTGGCTTTGCAAGCAGAGCTATTTCATTCAGCTGCTGAGGAAGTTTGTGGAGTGCTGCAGGACCTCAGTGCCCAGAGATTATCATGCTGTCACTTGGAGGGAGAACAATGAAATGTTACTCAGAAAATTGGTCAGTGGAGAAAGAAGGGCTGAGCCTCTTGTTGCAGCCTGCAGGACATGGGGACGTCACAGCCAGCTCTCTGCACAGCAGGTTGGTTGCAGCCTCTTATATGGGCAGTGTCCTTCCACTGGGGTTCAACTGGTGGCAAGACCTACTGCTCACACTGGACAGAAATCAGAACATAGGGGAAATTTGCCTCAGAACCCAGTTGTTCTGGAGAATGTAGACTCCTCTGCACACGATGCCAGGCAGGGTGAGAGGAGGAGGAGTAGGATTCAGCTCCCAAGCATGAGCAAGGAAAGCATGGTGATTCCTCATGCTGCTGTGTAAGAGGTGCTGCAGGCCTCTCTGGCAGGGCTCTGTCTGTGAATGCAGGTTTATATCACAGCCTAGATGTATCACAGTATATATCATGCAAGTTTATATCACAAGCATAGATGTAATCAGGGATAGGAAAAGGAAGAGATTAATGGTCTTCTGCCCTCCATATTAGCCACCAGACACCAATACCTCTTGGGTAAATACAGTGGCCATACTAGACACCTTCTCCTGACCTCTGCAACTCAGAGTTATAGAATCATTAAGGTTGGAAAAGACCTATGAGATCATTTAATCAAACCATCAGCCCATCCCACCGTGCCCACTAACCACGTTCCCTTAGCACCACACCTGAACACCTCTAGGGACAGTAATCCCACCGCCTCCCTGGGCAGTCTGTGCCAATGCCTCACTGCTCTTTCTGAGAAGAAATTCTTCCTAATGCCCAGTCTGAACCTCCTCTGAAACAACTCAGGGCCATTATCTCTCATCCTATTGCTGTTACCTGAGAGAAGAGGCCAAATCCCATCTTGCCACAACCTCCTTTCAGGTCACTATAAGGAGTGATGAGGTCTCCCCTGAGCCTCCTCTTCTCCAGACTAAACAATCCCAGTTCCTATAGCCACTCCCCATAAGACTCGTGCTCCAGACCCTTCACAGCTTCACTGTCTTGCTCTGGACATGTTCCAGGGCCTCAATGTCTTTCTTGCAGTGAGGGACCCAAAACTCAACACAGTATTCAAGCTGTGGTCTCACCAGTGTCAAACAGGAATGACCTGAAAGCTGCTTATATCTATTTTTGGATTGTCTGCTGCAAATACTCCCAAAACACCCAGCACACAGAGCACCATATAGATCTAAGAGATATAAAGAAATATGAACAAAAGCTGAAGGCGTTGAATTATACCTACAAAAGGTTAAGAGGATTTGGTGGAGCTGGCATCAAGTCTATTCTATCACCATAATTCCAGTGATGTAAGTGGTAAATAGCACATGTGGATGAAAATCCTAGCTGGGCTTGGGTCCATTGCTGACACGCTGTGACAGCAGGGCACCACTGACCACTAAGCAACTCTCGTGTGTCCTTTTTGTTCATATTAGTATTGACATTGTTGATTTTATGTTTTTACAAACTGGATGGATGGAGATGGAGAAAGCTGCAGTAGAGCAAGAGAATCAAATGCAATAAGATCTAAAGTAAATAGAAAAGCACTGGAACAGGTTGTGCAGAGAGGTGGTGAATGCCCCATCCCTGCAGACATTCAAGACCAGGCTAGATAGGGCTCTGAGCACCTGAGCTAACTGTGTCTCTGTTGACTGCAAAGCTGAACTTGATGACTTTCAAAAGTGCCTTCTAACTCATACGATTCTATGATTCTATGATTCTGCATTTTCATAAGGCCAAAGCAGATTTGGGAGGCTTTTGGAAGACCAGGTATTCATCCTGCATCTCAAAGGGAGGACAGCAGAGTAATCCTTGAGAAGCAAGAGCTGCTCTTGGAGTGACTGCATTGCATCAGCTTTGATGGCCTGAGGGTATAACTGAGGCAAAGCCTATGGGGAGATGTAATACCTGTCAGCAGATCAGCTAAATACCATTGAGAAAAAACAGCACATAAGCCTCCTGTGGGGACGTTCTCCGTCAGGCGCTCATTGTATAATATAAATTGGTTTAATATAAATTACATTAGGAGAACGAGGTTTAAGTGCCTGATAAGATGATGGCAGGCAATCAGCTCTGAGCAAAGGCAACAAGATCCGGTGGTAGCATTGATGGTTGAAAGATGGAAGCTGAGCAAGAGCACAGGGAGAGTCGATACTGTGCAATCTAAATTGATAAGTGCACTGTGCAGCCAGGTATGGGGCCTGTCATCTCCCATGCCAGAACCACATAAGGGATTCCACCATTTCCATTCCAAGAACTTCTATTAAGTACTAGAAATGCAAAATGAACTCAATCATAATACAAATGGGTAGCTACGGGTTAGGTGATTCCTCTGTTAGTTTTTCTTTTTTTGTCTTTGATAGCTTTTCAACTAAGCTCAGCATCAACAGACCCAAGCATGCTTAATACAGAAATTCATCATTTTTCAGGCAAAACAGGTAAGACACTTAACATGTTTTTGGAGATGAACAACACAGAACTAAAGGAAGCCCAAAGCCTCAGGGCAAGCTTGTGGTAGACTCTGAGAGGAAACTTGAGGCTTCCTCGTGCCCTGCATGCTATCTGGCCATCTGCCCCTCTCTCCTCTGGGAGACACAGTGACCTGCACAGAATGCAAGACCTCCCAGAGCACCCACAGAGTGGTTTCCTATGTGAATCCCCATGTAAAACTCTTGGCCTGTCTTTCAGGAATTAGGAGATATGCAAGAAGAATGAGAAATAATTCAACCAGCCTATGGCATGAGAAATCCCTTCCCTCCGTCTTCTGATGTTACATGAGTAAGTCTGAGCCTTGGTCTCATCAGCTCCAGTTTCTCACCACTTAAGCACTACAAAACCATGATACAGGAATGCCATTAGGATAAATCCACACATAATTCAGTGGTAGCCATGAATATACATTATATGGCATGGTTACCTCAGCATATCGCAATAAGATTCCATTGCACCAAAGTCTTAAAAGAGGAGAGATTTCAAATTTTATTTCTGTGATGGCATTATCTCATTCATTTCAGTTCTGACTTTCCTCCCATTTCCCTGTGCTTACCTTCCACCAGGATTGACTGTTAGCCCGTGTTCACTGGCTGCACTATTTGGACAGTAGTTGTCTCCTTTGGATTTCTTACTTGTTTCAACATCATGATAAAAATGCAACTTTGCGGCCTGCGTGGCAAAGAATTTCCAAAAACCTCTGGATTTAATAATAATAATTAAAAAACCCTACAAAAATCCTTTCAAAACAGTAAAAGATTTTTTTTTCTGAGGGAGATCTCTTTCCAAAAAATGTTCCCACACCTCCCGTAGGCCAGACCCTCCATTCAGAGCTCAAAACCCGCAGTCATTCCTACTTCAGTGCAATTACCACAGTGTAAAATTATTCCTATGAAGTTTGAGCTCTTATAAAAATAACAAGCCCTTTTTTTTTCCCACATAAAGCAAAGAAAAGCAAAGGCAGGAAAAGACATGATAGGAGCTCTGCTGAATTAGACAGATACCTTTGGCAGCAAACAATGTCTGGGAATGGAGGATGTTCTTTCTCTGCAAAAGAAAACCAACAAAACTTTGTTTGCAATGATAGATTTGCACATCTCTTCGAAGCCACTGAACTCTCCCAGCTTCATCCTTGAGATGGGCAAAAGAAATCCTGGAGAAGCTCATGGAAGCCACCTTAGCCATGGACAAAAATGGACAATGCAGGAATGAATGCTCGGAGTAGCACCAGTGAGAAGCATAGCAAAGCTTCTGAAAGCAGAGTGGAACAGCCAGCTATAAACAGACCAGAGCTAACCAAGTCCCTAAAAAATGAAAATAAGTCTAGGTTCTGTCCACCTCTGAGTCTAACTCCCATCATCCTGTCCAGGTGCATTGGTTTGGTGAACTCTTCCTACATCTTGCAGTCCCTGAATGTTAATTACTGTAAATATGAATTATTGCCAGGTGAAGGATGGTTCATCATTAAAAGTGGTTAAGTGGAAAGTAACTAGATGTGGCCAGCAGCATTTCCTTTGCACCATGAAGGCACGAGGGAACAATTATTATCACTCCTCAGGCCTGTGTATGCAGACAAAGACAAGAGTCCAGGGAGATCTTGTAACCAGTGCAGGACCAAAAGCTGCACTTGAAGTTCAGACCCCTGAGAACCTGAAACAGTACCACTCTGCCTCAGTTCAGAAGTGGGAGACCACAATCTACAGGACAGTCCTTGCAGGGCAGAGTAACCCAAAAGTTATGGGCTGTTTTGAGTTGATACGCATTTTTTAGATGTGTTTACCCATTCAGTCAGATCAGACCAAAGAATTTGAATTCAGGGCTGAGTCACCAGCCTGGCTTCTGAAGCACTCAAGCAGGATGTCAGTGGTGGATACAACCACAAAGACAGCAGCTGCCATCTTGTGTCACCAACCGTGGTGTTAATTGAGACAAATGGCAAAAGCTCATTCAGTGCACTACAGTAAACCTGCTCCTGTGAGACTGCCAAGGCAATCTCATGCCAAGTGCTTGCTGCAGCATTTCTTCCTTGTGCAGAAAGGCCTGTGGTGGGGGGTCACAATTCAGACTGGTCTACTCTCTTCCTATTTCTCTATGGCATCATCAGGGCAGTGGGAGAGAACTGCTTACTTGGTAGCACAGAGGCCATCCCAAGGCTTAATGGAAACATGAAAACCCCAGCACTTGCCCAAGGGATTTCCATCCCAAGGCCCCTCCAGGCATTTCCCTGATCAGCAGAAGCATGGCCAAGCATGCAGACACCCAAACTGAGCATCACTGCAGCAAGCCAGCACGCACCACTAAGCACATTGGACACGGTAGCTTCAAAAAAAAAATCACTTTTAAACAACTAATGCTGTGAACTTCAATGAGTCTCAGAGCAGCAGTCTCAGAGTAGCCCTTTGTCTGTGGCAGACAAAAGGTGAGGCATTGGTGTGCAAGCCTTGGCAATTGGAAAATAGTTTATGCTAGGAGGAGCAAAGAGTGAGGAAGCATTGGTTGTAAGAGATGAAAACATGGTGCTCTCTGAAAGGGTATGAAAAGTGACAGCCCTAATGCATCAACTGCTGCACCTGAAAATCACTGTATGATAACACAGTCGCAAGGCAAAGCAATTAATGCTGAGCAGCATCTGCCACACAAAGACCCTCGCTGCACTTAATGCAAAGAAGAAAAAAGACACTGAAAAAAACCCCCACAAAATAGCAGTCTGGTTGAAGGTAAGAGCGGTCATAAGTGACAGCAGCAGCAGCAGGACCATATCAAACAGGATTTTGATTGTGCAGCAAGCAGAAGCAGCTGGTTGAGTGGCTGAAAGGCAACGAGGGCACATGCTGGTGTTAGTGACAGGGACTTGCCAGGGAGATATGTTATCCTTAGTGAGCTGATCAACATGCAGCCTGTGCCATGCTGGTCTAATGAGTGATCTTGAGGAAGACATCTCACATGCTTTAATTTCCTGATGAGAAAGAGTTGTGACAAGGTCATTGGGTCTGTAGAGCACTTTGTGATGCTTGATGGAAAGAAGATTGACGAGGACTGGAACTGGTTGGTGTCTGAGAGCATTTATGCCCACTTGTGTCTATTCCTGCCCACCTCCAGGCAGAGTTGGCCTTCCAGCAGTGGGAGAGTCAAGAGTACTCTGCCTCTGGTTGCTGCCCCATCTTAGAAGCCCAGCTGAATCTGTTCTTCTTTTGGTGAATGCAGTTGTAATCCTCATACCTAAACCTGCACTGAGCAGCTGTCTTGGTTGCCAGAATGTGCAGGTAAACAAATTTGTCCTGGAGTCCCACTTTTCCCTATTTCCAAGAGTCTGGTCTCTCATCTACAAAAACTCCTTGGCTTTTCTATATTTTCACACCAAATACCCTTCATTTCTTTGCCTTTGATTCTGGATGGCTAATTTTAGGTGTGGGCTACATGTGTCCAATAATCGTAGGTACACACACAGCTCCTGGCAGAGTCTTCATAGCTACCACCAGAAATCACCACTCCCTGGCTGCAGACATGCACCTTTGCTCCACTCCTCGCAACCAAGTTCAAGATCCCCAGAAGGAAGATCTAAATCACAGAATCATAAAATCACTAAGGTCTAAAAAGACCATTAAGAACATTCAGTCCAACTGTCAGCCCATCCCACCATGCCCACTAACCACGTCCCTCAGTGCCACATCCACACAGTTCTCGAACACCTTCAGGACAGTGACTCCACCACCTCCCTGGGCAGCACTGTGCCAGTGCCTCACCACTCTTTCTGAGAAGAAATGTTTCCTAATATCCAACCTGAACCACCCCTGGTGCAACTTGAGGCCATTATTCAGTGGATCCTTTCAATATCCTGAGAACCCACAGACAAAGCACACATCAAGCAGCCCTGAACACGTCCATCTGCAGAGGACCAAATATATGAACAGCAGGTCTGAGTCTGATCCTCAGTCCTTCACTACATTGTCTCTGCACAGCTCTTGCTCACCATGACAGATAGGTCTGCTCCTGCTGTTACCTGATTTTCTAATCCATCTGGACCAAGGACTCTTCTCATCCTCAGTTAATCCTGCACCTTTGCAACCGGAGAAAGGCATGATGGTGTCAGAATGAAATGCTCTGGGTTACCACTGACACACGATGTCCTCACAGTGGTGGCATTCCCCATGAGAAGAAGCAGCCCAGCCAACCCACAATGGGACACTGCAGTAATCTAATCAGATGGAGATAAGAGATGGGATGAGCTTTGCAGCATCTGATATGGATATACAAGCCACATGCACAAGCTGATACAGACAAGCCAAAGCTTGTTAGTATTCACGAGAGAATAAACCGAAGCATTTAAACAGCAGCAAAAAATGACCATCCAGAAGATGAGAACTACTGAAATGAGATGTGACCAGCAACTCCTTTCTTAAAAGCAAATTGAAGCTTGTTTCATCCATGTCTCCATACTTATCTGCTTCCTTTGGCAGCAGAAGAAAAGCTTGCATTCGATTAGCTGGCTTAGCTGCACACAGCTGAGAGAGCTGAGAGAATACTTCCCACGGACTAATTTATTCCACAAATATAACATATTTTTCTGCTCACAGAATACCCACAAACACATTGCCGTTTCCTTACATATTTTTCTTTGAATTTTTTTGGCACATCTTCATGAATTGTTTGCAAGTTCACTGTTTGCAGGGCTCAGTGCTGGAATCTGGGCGGTTGGTTAGTGGTTGTTGGTCACGTACATCACATGCTTTCATTTCTTCTGGTCTCTGGCTGAGGCTGTCCTTCATCCCGTCCGATTCAGCACTCTTTGATGTCAATGAGACTCATTCTCTATGACTTCAGTGCACTTGGGTCCAGCCTTTTGTTTGGGAAGGAACTGGGAGAAGCCACCGCTCTTTTGAATCTCTCAAACTGGGCTAAGATTTATTCAGGAACTCAGCAAACATTCATGCTTTCCCACAAAAGCCTTTCTCAGCTCTTCTCCTAAGAAAAACTCAAGTTTTTGAAGATTTATGGGAGTTAACATTTATTTCCTTGGAACTCTTGCAGTTATTCAGACTAGTGCAGAACATATGTGAAATAGTGTCCAGCTAAATCTCTGGGTTCAGATCCCACAGTGGTGCACTCATCCAATATCAGAGGAGGGAAGGAGGAAGCTCATCACTCAGATGCAATGTTTGCCTTTGATTTTGTTCCAGCTTGAAGTCCTGCCTGCACCTCAGTTTGTGGAAGCCCACAAACTACAAGCTCAAAATACCAGAAGGCATAACTCCCCACAAAGCCCACAGTTCTTCCCATCCATCTATCCAGGCTTACGATCACCAACATCTCCAAGCACATCCTTACAACAACTGGAGAGAGCTGCGTCAAGACACATGGCTCAGCTTTTTGTTCCCTGGAGCATTATATTGCACAGGATGCTCAGCGTTTGGAAAACATCCCCACACTTGGCAGGAGGTGTGGTCAGGCATCAGAACAGGCTGCTCAGGGAGGTGGTGGAGTCACCATTCCTGGAGGTGTTCAAGAACCATGTAGATGTGGCATTGACGGACATTGTTCTGTGGACGTGGTGGGGATTTGGGCTGATGGTTGGACTACATGATTTTAGTGGTCTTTTCCAACCTTACTGATTCAATGATATGGTGGCAAGGCTGCAGGCACTGAGCAGCACAATTCCAGATGGCACTACAGTGCTGGAAGGCAGCAGAAGAACTAGGGAGGATGTGGAGTATTTTCTTTTCCTGCTCCTCCTGGGCAGCACAGTGCTGGCAGCTCTTTTAGCTTTAAGGCTGTCCTCACGTTGAAATATAAATTGTCTTCTCTTCAAAATCCGGTTTAAAAATAGCACTATTTGAGGAGTATATAAATAAGTAATCATTTGGAACACAATATTAGAGCACCCTTCTTTAATTAAATGGTTGCTTGATGCATTTCAAAGCTCTGTTCTGACTCAGTCTTCCTGCACATCTGTACTTTTCCTGTTATGAACAAATCTCATCTAACTGCACCATGAATTTTAAAGCAAACTAGATGGCACAGAGTAATAGGGCTATTAATATCCTAATTGCAGAGTGGCACTTGGGACTGGCCCATTCTCACAGAGGCAGGAAGAAATATCTTCTCAGACACACAAGAATGGCTTCAATGGCCGTCGTTGCCTCCATTTGACACCTGGATTAAAGGAGAACATGGAGAAAATATTCTGATAAGAGGGCACATATTTTTCCGCTCAACCCAGATAACATTTGCTAAACATGGCCAGGAATGTCATTCTGACTATTCAGACCAACCTCTCTTCTGGTCCCAAATACCACTAAAGGGTGAGCAGAAAGGCCATGGGCTTCTCTTTGTTGCAGTGCATTCTTTGTGTAATCCCAGGATTGGATCAGGCTTTTTTATAGCATCACAGAAGTGAGGGATGGAAGAGACACATGACGAGAGGCCAGCAGTTCACTCTGCCCCTGAGCAGGATCGCTGACTGTTTCACCCACCGGGGCTTTGTCTTGTCTAGTTTAAGATTCTAAAATGCACACCACTCTTGTTCTTACCCTAGGGAGCTCCGAGAAAGTGTAAATTCCACTCCTGACAAATATTTCCGGATTGCAAGGCTGAGAGCCTCCTTCTCTTAATTCCACCAACTACTCATGCTGACTATTTAAAAGCATACCAAATGCTCCCCTTGGACTTACAGAGCACCACTGCAACCATTTGGCTCCTCTGGACATATCCAGCAGTTCTTGTTTCCCTGCAGGTCTTCATGGCAGTGGAGTCAGATTTCCCCAGCACAGCCCTTCTTGCTTCTCATGCAGGCTCGGGAGCAGCTGCCAAACAACAACAAACAGAGCTCTTTTTTTTTTTTCCCCTGACTGACATGGGGGAAAGGACAGGAGATTCAAGCTGGAAGAATGCAAGGAAAATCAGAGCCTCTTCCTTGGGCTGTTTTGTTTACACACGTGCTTCTGGGGAGGGAGGAAAGGAGAGCAGCTCATGTTCAAAGATGGCCATTTGTCTTCTGGTGTGCACGGGCCTAAAACTTCCTCAGAGCTCGTACCCAAAAGCCAGTTTCAACTGGATGTGGTATGGTTTTGAGTCCACACACTGGTATTAAAAACAAATTTGGCAGCCCTGGGTGGACATAAATATTTCCATGATAGAGCTGGGAAAGAGGCAAGACATGCTGCTTGGTGAGAATTTACTTGGTGTGTTGTCTAACTTTGTACAGCATTTATGTGTAGGAGTACAACTCCCAGGCTCTTTGGTGGCTCTCATCCTTCCTTATCCCAGGTGATTTCTCCTTCTCCTCAGTCTGAGGCCAATGCCACCAACTAGACAGATGGTCTCACATCTAAACTAACTTGTCATCCTTTCAACTTCAAAGGACTGGGCTGGTTCTCACCTTACACACCATCTCCAAATGTTGGCACAGTGGAATTTGGCCATAGCTCGTGGGGCATCAGCCCCATTTGGGATGCATAGCACACGACCTCACCACAGCTCCCTGAGTGGCCGTGGAGCTCAGCAGTTGGTTGGACTTAGGAGCAACTAGAAGGCCAAGTGCAAATATGTGCTCAGAGGCCTTGAAGAGATCAGCTGCTTCTGAATCCCATCTTTACATCCCCTTTGAGTTAACAGATGAGTCTTTTGAGTTGCCAGGCACCTCCTTTTTGTCCTCTAAAATATGACCTCTGCATTAGGATGATGCTTATGCATTGTGTGTGCTGCTCCTTTTCATATGTTGTCTGTCGAATTCTATCTGAATGTGCAGCAATATTAAACAGAAGTGCTGATGTTCAGAGTAAATATAGACATACCCTTCTAAGTACACCTTGTAAAGCTATCCTGAGCTCTCTGTAATCTAACCCAACTGTCTTGGCTGCTGCTGTAAACATCAGTGTGCCTGATGTCAAGTACAGGTGCTGAAGAAGCATTGGATGGAAGGCTGCCACAAGAGGGGATCACGCAGAGATGCTTTGCTTTAGCTTTAGGTCCTCCAGGTTGGAAAAGCGGCAGTGCTTGGGCAGGCAGGACTAACGAGTACAGAGCACGTGGCAGGGCTGAAGTAGGGGAGAGGCAGCTCAGGAGAGGAAAAATGAAGTAGATTCCTCTGAAAGTAATTTTTTCAATTAATCTTAAAAAGAGGGAGCAGAGGTACTGCAAGGTGCTGCCTCATCCTGCTCCTTACTCTTGTATGCTCATAGTACAGTAACTTCACAGGAACATCCAGAAGCCGTTCTCCATTACACAGGATCTTCTGTTGAGTTGCTTGAGGCTTGTGTGGTAATAGCTTTATTCAAAATAACAGTGGTCCATCTTTTATCAATTAGGAGAACAATGACAGAATCATCCCTTACTAATCCCTAATCCTCCCCACAGCCGCTTCAGATTCCCATGTGCAGAATTCTTGTTTTATTTACATGTTTTTGGAATGGCAGCTGCAGTACCGGATCCAAAATCTTTCAGATCCTACCACATTTTCAGCCCCATAAGGGGAACAAACAAAAGACTTCAAAAATAAAAGTTGCAGGAATAACGCGAGGAGAGTTCCATTTAAAGATAGAAATGTTATAACTGCAGTAATTATGAGCTGTAAATGAGGTATCAGCCATGCTCCACACGTGCCTGTCTATAAGGATTCCACTGGATTTATTTCCCTTCACAACAGATCACAATGTGGCCAGATGATTTTTTAGCTCATATCCAGACAGCCTTCGGTGTTCAGACAGGCTGTAGGGTGTCTGCCTGTTCTACAGAAAGAAGGGTCACACAGGCACTGAAATCTACAGCACTCCTTCATAGAGTAGACAGGGTTTAGATAGGAAACTTGGAACCATTTGCAAACTTTTGGTTTCTATCCTGTCTCAGGTCACAGTTCCCTGGCAGCCACTGTGACATCACACAGTATTTGGTATTCTGGCCGGGTGCCTTCTCCAAGGCTGATGATAATCATTGCTTACAGACTGTAATGAAAGGCAAAGACATTTCCTAAGTGTGTTTTATAACAGTCTTCTTCCTTTCCTGGTTGTAACCAATTCTGTAGGTTGCCTGGCTTGGAAACAAAGCCATCAAAGATGATGGTTCTAGGGTTGCCCCTCAGCAGCTTTGTCAGCATTTGCTCAGAGAGGCTCTCTTCAGCTATTCTTTTTCACCCTGACTGTTTTTCCAGACAGATCCCTACTGAGCTGACGTAGTCACACAGCAAATTGCTAGAAGCAGGCCAACATATGGTATCACTTAGGTACAGTGCAGTCCCAGTGCCATTGTAGTGGTACTCTGATTCCACTTCTCATCTCAAACAGACAATTCATTTGTGCACAAAAAAGAAAAGCAAGTAGGCACTTAAAGAAAATTCTGCAGCCCATGGAAAGAGTTTGAATTCCATACCATGCTTCATGCCTTCAAGAGATAGAGCATTTAGGCCAGAAGCATGATGCCCAAGGAATAGTTGGCTCTGTGGTCATCTAATTGCTCTGCTGCAGAGTAGGTCAGTGAGATGTTAAATGCAAAGAGCTTTCAAGTCTTTAAAATTGGAATTCTGCACAACTTAACTAGCTTTCCTGACCTAATACAAGAAATGTAATCCACTGCAGATACAAACAAATCAGACAAATATGAGCCATTGAGACCTAATGGGAAACCACGAGTCCCATTGAGACCATATCTCAGTTTTTCAAGCACCAGCTCAAAGTAGGATTGCAGGCAGTGCAGCAAGAATGTGATATGTACAGGGAAGAAAATTCTGCCGTTTGGCAACAGGGAACTACTTGAGACCTTGTCAGAAGCGATGAGTAAAAGATCTCTTGCACCAGTGTGTGGTGGCAGGGCAGGAGCAACAGCTGTCTGAAGGAGTGGCTGAGGTATTCTGCCATTAAGTAAGGAGCAATGCTGTGTTTGGAAACCTCATACAACCCAGCTCTCTGCCATTCAAGTAGGTTTTGGAAAATGTTCCAGAAAATCATTTTCCTTTAGCGGGAAATCTGAAGGTGCTCAAGGAGCTCAGTCTCTTGATTTCAACAAGATGTTCACATGCACCCCAGCACACATTCTCAGAGGTTTCACAAAGCAGATTTTCAGCTGTGGGTAACTAAAGATATAGACATACGACTATATTTGGAGCCACAAATGAGGCACATCACAACTACTGAGCAGCACACGCTCCTTTTTCCTGTTAAATTGACTTGTCTGCTTTAGGAGCATCAGCTTCTGACACTCACAGTTAAACTGTGAATTTTCTAAGGTTCGTTAGACATCCTTCCACAGGGAGGCCAGCACTGCAGAACTCATGCGGCCACCTCCTCCACAACAGGATGGATCATCACTAATGAGAATGTGTTATCCTGCGTTTTTCCAAATCAATTATCATCTTGCTCTTTTTTGGGTCCCTAGCTTCAAGTGACATGAAGTAAAAGAAAGTGGCCTTCCAAAGGTAGGCATTCAAATTAAGTTCATCTTACAGGCACCTGATTCTGGGCAATCAAAAATGGGAGCACCAAAAACAGAGGTGTTCTGAAAGCACTGACTGCCATAAGGGAAAAGTTTGGTTCGTTTCCTCTCTGAGTGCTCTTCTATTGACTCAGCCCTCAAGCAGTGGGAGGTGCTGGAAGGTTGTTTAAACACAAAAAAAAGAGACAAGGAGATCTCAGATAAGATATAAATACTGTAGGTTGACCTATTACTGAAATGTTTACTGTACAGAATTTTGTTTAACTTCAGTCCTTACAGAATACAATTGGCTCCTGAAGGCGTTTAAGAGGCTGCATCCAGACAGCAAGCTGCAGCCTGTGTCAGCACCACTTGAAGGGCCACTGGGGACTGTGCTGGAGCCCTGTTCAGGCAGAGGAAGCAACTGCCATGGATCTGCCGTCCCTGTTCATTGCAGAGGAGTTGGCCCAGACAAGCTTTAAAGACCCCTTGCAACTCAAACTCTATGATTCTATGAAAATAAATGGACTCCAGCAGCTTAAAGAGGTACCTGGTGTTAACTGTGCCTGAGCCATCTTCAGGAGGGCTTAGGAAGTGGTAAGAAGCATAGCCTGATCTGGCAGATCTCTCCTTTCTCTATTGGTTGGCAACCCTGCACACAGCATAGGGGATGAAACTAGATGATTATTATGGTCCTTTTCAACCCAGGCCATTCTACGAGCCCGGGTTAGTACTGCAGTCTTGGATGCAGCAGGAGGAAGACACAGACCAGAGCTGGAAAAAAAAAAAAAAAAAAGAATGAAAAACATACTTATTTTTAACCAGCAGCACAATTTCTGTATCACAGAAGAGCTGTACAAGTCACACTGACCCTTATTGGTATGCATATGTTTAGAGCACTGCTTCAGGAGAGGGCAAGAGAGTCTCAGGACTGTGGGAGCCCTTCCACTTATAGCTATGAATTAATTCCAATTAGCCCTAGAAATGAGCCTCTCTGGCTCTTTGTTCTCTGAAATTGTGCTTTTCGGAGACAGGCTCTTCAATTAGCAGCTAATTACGATGGTCTTGCCTCCTCATGGATAGATGGGGCATAAAAAGCCACAGCCCTTGACAGCTGTGGGAGATCTGCCTTCAGCTTGAGAAGCAGAATTATTGATATCGATTCCAAGGGTCTTTGGCTCCTGTCTGTAAATCCCTCACAACCTGAAACAACATTATTTGTGACACTACTGAGAATTATTTGATCTCTGGAAAATACATCACAACTCCAGCCCTCACCAAACGTGCTGAAATCAAAAGTAGACAAGCTGTATGCCTGATGGCGTGTCTCTCCTCTTCTACAGCAGTGGATGAGGAAACCAGATGCACACCCCGGCACATTTTGAGGAACAATTAGGTGTTCCCAGGCTGTGTTTTGCTATCACCTGCTTTCTCTTTAAATGTTGTTGCACAGTGATTTTATTAAGGCTGCCCAGGGAGGTGGTGGAGTCGCTGTCCCTGGAGGTGTTCAGTAACAGTGTAGATGTGGCACTGAGGGACATAGCTAGCAGCTATGGCGGGGATGGGCTGATGGTTGGACTAGATGAGCTTAATGATCTTTTCCAACCTTTTAAGATTCTATGATTCAGCTGTCCATAAATTTGTCTAACTTGTTCTTGAACATGCCAATACTACCTGCACCCTTAATCACTACTCCCTGTAAGAGAAATGGGCTTTCTTTTATCTATTATCATCATCTATTTTCATCTCATTCAAACATTATTTTTCTAGTGTGCACTCTCACTTTCAAGCTGCATGCAGTACTTCATTGCATGCAGAAGGAGAAAATGGTTTGTTTGTTTTTTAATCTGTCTGTACTAGGGTCTGTGTACAAGCAGTACTTCCTGAAGGACATGACAGAACTGTGCTAGCAGCACGATTTTCAGCTACTTGTAGATATACATTGCTCTAACATAACTGGAAATGCAGTCTGCTCTGCAGTTCTCACGTTCTTCTTGTATGACTCTTTCTCTGGAGATCTCCATGGAGCAGTTATTGTCTGCTATTTCCTTGGCAATACCAGAGGGGGATTAGCAGCACTGAAAGGACTGCAGAGAGGACTGCTTTGAGATAAAATTTCTCTGCAGTTAAGCTACAGATAAGATGAATGCCAGCTCCAGTTGGCCACAGGCATTCCTCCATTGCAGATCTATGTCTGGATATGAACTTTGCACAGATATCAATTATTTCCATGCTGCTGTAGAAAGAATCCCTAGACCCCGACTAAATTTCAACCTCAAATAAGTCACACATCATATCCTTGGTCCAGAGCGTGGAAAGCAAAGCCCTGCTACTGGCTTTGTGCATAACAGCACCTCCTTCCTCTATATAGGAAAGTATATATACTAGGAAAAGAGTGACTGAAGCTTTGCTTTTGTGTCACAGGCCTGAAACACAGTATACACACTGCTGCTGCATCATAGCTCCAGTTATCTGTAGATTCTCTCCCAATGCAAAAATTTATGTCCTGAAGGGAAAACAATCAACTTTAGACTAAATTAGATTACAAAACAGTTATGTTGTCTAACATCTTTATGAAGTTTTTTAGCATTTCTCTTTCCTACAGAAAACAGAAAGTATTTGAAGTAGCAAATTAATGTAAGATGGGGGTAAACACCCATCACAAAGGGCAGCGATGTATTCGATCCCGCCATGGGCAGAGAAAGGAAAGAGATAAGCTCTCCAAGTCTCTTCCAGGATAATTTATGTGAGTTTGTTAAACAGCAACAAACTGAGAAAGCACACCTCTGCTTTTGTTTCACATGGCACTTGTGAAGCACGTCTGCTAGGCAGAGCTGCCAGTCTGCTGCTTCTCTCATGGCATATTATAAGCGTATGAGCTAGTTGCTTTCAAAGAGGCAACTTACAGGGTCCAAACATAAGTACTGCTGCAAACAAAATGCTTCCCTAAATACTCTGAAATCCAAAAGTTCATCCTTAGCAACATAATTCAAACCGGTGATATCAGTGGGAAAACCACTATAAAGGTCAAAGAGGATGGACGCGGGGAAAAGAAAAAAAAATAAATAAAGAGGCAGGAAGGGGAAAAGTGTATCAGAAGAAAACTGGAGCACTGGATACTCCATACTTACAACCACCAGGATGTCTCCACTCCATCATCACAGTGAAAGGAAGAAGGTCCATGGCAAGGAGAAACTGCAACAGCCACTATGATGGTGAACAATCAGAGGAAGCTGAGGAGAAGAACAATATACTGGCAAACACTAAAAAACAAGGGAGAAACTTAAGTGCATATGCAATAGCATGCAGTGTTCTGTAGCATTCTTAATGCTACATTTTTAAATTACCCTTGTTATCAAACAAAAAACAATGGGTTCTTTTACAGAACTCAGAGTTTTTCTACATACGGAGCCACTTTTCTGTTTCCTATGAATGAGCACACTTCACTTGTTCAGGTCTGCTTTCTGTTCCTCTTCCCTTGCCACCCACCTTCTTACATGCCCAGATAAGCTGTTGAGAACCAAGGACAAGTTTCCAGCCCTTAAAGTCACTGTAATCACTGATCTTAAGCAAGGCTTCCAGCCTGCCCTGGCTGCAATGTAAAACACAAGTATTTAAGTGAGCCCATTTTATCAGGCAATTGAGGCATGCTAAGAGCACGCACATGGTTAATTAGTATAGTTCAGCCAACAGGCAATAACTCATTAAGCTACAGTAACTCGACTATGTTTGATCATGTGCTTTATGCCCTAAGGTGCTTCATAAGTAAAGCAGTAAAGTCAACTTATCTACCATCTCAATTCATAGAATAGAATCATAGAATCATAGAATTCCTCTCTCACTCTTTTTTTTTTTCTCCTAACCACACAAAATCGTGGTTAAACCACAGAGGATAATTTCTGGATGCAGAATAGTTCACCGCCTTCCTCTTTTTTGGCAGGCTGAGCACGGTGAAGATTGTTATCCAGTCGCCTTTCAGCCTTGCCCACCCCAGGCTAAAAACAAATGTGTTCCCTCCTTCCCCCCAGGCACTGCTCTGCCCACCTCCTCTCTGCAGTGTGCTCCCCTAGGGACTGCCTCCTATTTCCCCAGGTGTAATGCCACAAATGGGTCCCAGTGATGCAGCTGAAAGGATTAACTCTCACAACATCCCTTGCCAGCACAACCCAACCCAATTCTTTCCTCCACAGCCATGCCGTTAATCCATCACAGCCCTCTGCTCCCAGTGCCACCTGGCTGCTCTGTCCCACCTTTGTAGCTTGTCATTTCCAGCTAAGTGCAGATTTGCACTTATCTTCCCTAAATTGCATCCTGTTTATTTCCAGATCATTCCCCTAATTGCTGAGCTCTCCCGAGCACTAATCTCCTCTTCCCCACTGTCTTGCTCTTTGCTGACACTAACAAAGGGGCTGCCCATCCCTTCATCCACTTTATTAATGAAAATACTGAATAGTCCTGAATCTAGGCCATATCCCTAGAGAAGCAGCTCAATAAATCCTTCCAGTTTGACAGGATTCACTTGATAACTGCTCCCTGAGTACTCAGTAATTGTGTCTAACCTAATTCTCCCTATTTTTCTTACAAAAATACTGCCTCTCCTAAGGTATTGAAGTTAGAGCAGCAAGAAAACCTATATTTCGCAAAGTTAATGTTAAGGTAACGTAGAAGGGGAACTAACATTCATGTGTCAGACCTGACTTCAGCTGTTTTCTATCTGGAGTATTAGTATGTGACCAAATGTCACAGTTAACCTATTGCAAACCCATTCCAACATTCACCAGAAGCATCTATTGGTGGCGCCCACTGCAAATAGGATGATGGGAAAGATGGATTTGGGAATAATTTACTGTAATGGTTCCTAAATCATGGGCTTCCCAACTTCCATGAGCTTTGGACCAGCCCCATGTGAGTTCCAATTTGCTTTTCATCTCCAAATACAAGGAACGGGTTTCCAACATCAACCTTCACTCCTGCATAGATAAAGCTGCTAGACTTCAGAGTCAAGATCTGAGAGTTTGGTGGGATTTTTTTCATTTTTATACATTTATCCTCTATATATTGAGGAAAGGGTTTCCAGGAGAAATCCAGAATTCCAGGAGAAAGGGGAGACTCCTATTTCATTCACTTGAGCTCTATTAATTATGTGATTTGCATAGTGAGATACAGTGTGTAACAAATACAGATACACAGAGACATTTTTATTCTTCTCATCATCCTGGAGAAGAGAAGCATGAAAGAAGGTAAAGCAAAAATGTAGCCCTAAATACCCATGATATTGCGCAGCATGATAACAAAATATTGCTCACTTAAGCAGGAGCTTTTGAACTGCTCACTAGAGGAGCCCTTCCTTCTCAGTTGGTTTTTATAGGCAGCCTAGGGAGATTATGTGCTTAAGTTAGTCATTTAAATTTAGAGAGCTTGAACAAACATTGCAAACTCCCCTTCTCTCTCCCAGAAGAAATAGCTCATGATGACATAAGAGCATGTCATCATACCACAAGAAAATAAATATGATAAAAGCAGAAGTATTTCAGTCTTTGTGAAATCTGGTGGTTGAGCTTGGTGTTTTTGTTTTTGTTTTTTTTTTTCTGTTGTTCTTCATCTAACATCAATTGTGCCTAATAACAGTAACCAAGCAGATGATGCAAATCAAGCGAGTGCGTTTCTGATCGCTGGTCAAGCGCTCGCATTGTGCTAATGAGAAACTGAGCTGTAAAATCAAGTCAAAATATTTTTTCCATGGCTCCCAGTGGAGGTCAAAGCACATGCCCATTTGTAGTTCCTCTAGCTCTGCAGGCAGCTTGGCGCCCCTTCCACAGGCAATGAGTCCTGCCAGAAAAGCCCATCAGGTCTTTCAGGTTCCCACTGGCAGGAAAAGTACCACACTCGATGCACCAACGTTTGGAAAACAGAAAATGTGCTGAGTCTCAATGGCCTTGGAGTGTCCATAAATCACTCATAGAAAAGAGCGGGGATTTAGTTGGGCAGCACATTGTATGCCCAAAGCGGAGCTGGAGGAGGACCTCCAGAGTCGCTATAGAGGGATTTCATCACAAGGAAGGGAAGCTGAGCAAACAGCGAGGATGTCAACAACATCCTGTCCTTGCAGAGAGGAGAACGGCTTTTGAAGGAATGACAGAGCTTTGGATCTCAGCTCCCCGAGGCAAGTTCAGGCCAGTTCAGACTCATTGCTTTTGTACGATAGAAGGTTTGGGTTTATTATTAGATCGAACTCAAAAGAGCCTTGCCAAGTTTGAAAGTTCATGATGTTTCAAGCAAAGAAAAGGAAGTGTCTTACCTCTCACAGAGGCTCGTTTCTCCGTTATGAAACAGCCCAGCAACTGTTCAGCTCTTGTTCCCAGTGATGTCTGGAGCATGAATGGAAGATGGCTGGAGAATAGCCTGCTGAAACCCGGAGCCAGATCTGCCCTTCACAGCCATGTTTCTCCTCGGAGTGAAATGCTCATTTCCCAGGTTTGTTTTTTTCCACTGCGAATGAGATAAACATTGATACAGCACAGACAAAATAATCTGCTGTGAGGCTCATGCAGGCATTACTGACTACTCAAATGGGAAAAGAGTGGGAATGAAATTCATATAACCTCAAGGTTTGCTCCCCTTGCTTACAGCTCTTCCTCACCCTCCCCAGGCCCTCTCTCCAAGCCATCTAGGCACTGCCTAAATCTGAAGGCTGTGCCTGAGCCTCACCACTCTCAAGTGGACACATCTTCTAGTTTCCAATCCTAGACAACATCAGCCAGTCCATACCCAGTGATTTCGTACCCACCATCTCTCCAGCTTAAATAGTTCATTCCATTCCTTTGGGGAGAGACAGCAATTGGAATTCCTCAGGCTCAGATTTGCTAAAGAGCATGATCCAAACCCTTTTATTCACTTTCTATCATTTATGTCATTTTTTTCCCAATAGCCTGGTTTTAGATGCTTTTCTGCACGTGATCTCAGTAAAATTTATATTTCATGAAGGCGAGTAATTAGAATTGAAGGACTCGCCAGCACCTTCATTGGCACTCGTAGTTATCCCCTTCCATACTGGCTTTGGTACCTATTGAGGCTGCTTTGCATTTTTCATAGTCTCCTTACATTCATGGTCATGGACAATTAAGTCCAGAGCTCAGACCTTTACAGCCTTATTCTATTTCAATGGACAGATCTCCCAGAGGGTAGCACACAACTTCCTTTCTGCATCATTTTCAGTTCTGTGCTGTCCCATTTCATCTCACACCTACTACCCCTCCCCTTAAACTTATCCAGTTCTACCCAAAAAACTGCTCTGCGATGACAGTGAATTAAAGCACACTTCATCAGTACACTCCCATTTGTCTGTGCCAAAAACATTCATGTAAGTATTTACCAAAAGCAAACCCAAGACCTGTCTTTAGGATTCTCATTGGCAGGTTCCCTCTGGTGTGATGCTCTCCTGAAGGTGTTTCTCACCACAGGCCAGCCTTTTACCCATCTCATCATTCTTATTAATGTCCATCTTCATTAGTTTCACTGATAATTTCCCTAGTTTCTACATACCAAAATGACCTGTTGAATTTCAGCTTACATCTACTTCATCTCTTGCACCTAGAAAATCTGACCACTATATGCCCCTCTTTGAGTTGTTTATCAGACTGGGCAGCCTTGAATTGCTTCTGCTAAACCCAGCCTGCATTTGACAGGTGTCAGGCTGTTCCCCCAAACACCATTCCAATGTTTATTATTCATATTTTGTTTGAGTCCTTTTCTAACGTTGAGGTGACAGCGGTCAATTGGCTTGGAACAATCTCCCTTTTTCAAAACCTGGGTAAACACTTCTGACTGGGGAGGTTTACACAACAAGTTGTTACTGTTGGATTTACGGCTTCATGTAGCCTGGTGAATGAATCTCTAGGGGTCCTGGGATGGAAATGATCTTGTCAACATGGTAAAGTCCACTGCCCAAGCTGCCTTGTTTTTGCCTGTGGTGTGGCTCCTTGTTTTTGCATGCCCTAATTCCTAACAGTCTCCTTGTTTTTACATTCTCCCTGAATATTCAGCATCTTCTTACAGAAAACTGAATTATGCTGTATTACGTTTATGATTCTATGATTACTAGCTTGATACACTATCTGAACATCTCTAGTATCTGTCTCTTCCCACACTGCACCCTTACTCACCTCTTTTGTCTCCTTTTTACTTATGCAACTGAGAGGACTCATCTGCTTGCTGTCCTTGCAAAGTCTAACTGTGCTTGATCTACAGCATCTTGCTATTTACATACAGACCTCTTTGCTTTTCCCAGTTCATTTTCGTCCCTCTTCCTCTCCCTCTGTTTCTTTGCCCAGAGTATCTGGAGCCTTTCCTTGTTAAGTGCCCAAAAGAATCTGACTCGTGACTACGCCATGCATACTGCAATGATTTGTCTCATCTCGTGTGTGTGGGGAGCTCAAACTTAAAATGTATGCCCTTACACAGAGGTTAGATTGGATGAGCATCCTTCCTGGCACTGCTGTGCCTGCTGCCCCATCCTACAGCCCTGTCCTATTCCAGGGGACTGAGTGACAATTCAGTCCCTGCTGGTGTTTCCTTCCCAGTGTGCTGACTGAGTG